GTTTAGGGGGGTCAGCCCCACCCCGCCCCGCCCCCCCCCCCCACCACCCCACCCCAACTTGGTCTACCTTGCTTTTGCTTAATCACTTCAAGTTCGAATCACAAATTGTATGTAATTTTTCATGTTGGAAGACTTTTTATTTTACCTCTTAATTAGTCAACCTTAATTTAATTTGGTTAATTACAAAAATAAAAAAACAGTTGACCTTTAAGACAGTACAACAACAGGATAGGCATTGGATAATAATGTTAATTGAGATTTGACTTGATTTAAGTTTTGCAAATTAGTGTTTTGCCGGCTCTTATTAATTTCCAATGTATTAAATAAAACTCAGATAATACTCAAAAATGATTAAGTTGATCTATCACTATCCAAGGGTGGACTCTAGGACCAGGTCTATACGTTTATGTCTGCTTCATTATTTTTATTTTTTGTTTAGTTTACTTTTGAAAAAATATGAAATGAAGAAAGACTTTTAAATAAGGATTTTAATATAATTACTCTCCGACTCCATTCGTTTCAATTTATGTTTAATTGAAGATACTTATTTGTAATTAGCTTCCACTAGCACATATATCGAATAACATTGTCCATCAAAGTTTGAACAGATGAAAGAAAATCACTTAATATTTTTAACTCCGCTGGAATTTGAACTAGAGATAAGATGCTCCTTAGGTTCTTGAAACATATAATTTCTCTTTTGAATTTTAAACAAATATAACTATTATTCCTATCATGTGACTTGTTGGAAAATTGCAACAAATAAATATGCTTTTTCAAAATGTTAAAAGTGCTGATGAGTGTGAAACAAGAATGGGTTTTTTTTGTGCATGTATGCCCCTCTTCAGTGTCATTATTTGAGTTGGGATCTTAGAAATTAAAGAACATTAACTCACGGGCCAGGCAAATGGCAATAACAAATGTTCACCATGTGAATAATGCAGGGGTAAGATTGTCCAAACTTTGGAAATTTTGTTACAAACAAAAGCTTTTGTCTCCTTATCCTACTACTCTATCTATATATATTTTGCCTTAACATCCTCAATGGCCCATGCCATATTAATTCTATTTTTATCATTTTTATAATTTATAATTATAAATTGATGAATGACAAGTCAGAAATTATATCAAGATGCAATAAATAACGTAACGCAATTTTTGAACTACCATTGATACTGTTGAAAAGTCTTCCTTATTTCAGGTGATCCAATAATAATTTATATAAATTTACAATAAGAATCGTTTATTGCATGATATAATTTTTGAACGAAAAAGGATTCATTACTTGTAGCTAGGTGTGTCAAAAATGAACCCAAACATAGATAACCCGCCCAGAACTTTAAGGGTTGGGTTCAAGATAATTTGAATTGAGTTCAATCTCAACTCATTCAAGCCTAGCCCATTTTAAGAGAATCCTCAATTGAGCCCAATTCAATCTTCAATTTCAACCCGTTTTAAAACTCTTTACTAAGATATGTTCCTATATTAAATGTATGAATTATTATTTATTTAACATCTTTTAGGATATATCTATCCATTTGTTACTTTTTAAAAAAAAAATCTTGAGCTAAAATTCGAATTGTGATTATAAAAGTTAAATATCACTATGTTAAAATTATTGAGATTAATCAGGTCAAATTGGGCTAGTCAAGACTCAACCTGTTTTTTAGCCCATTTGATCCCAAAGTAAACTTGGGTGGGTCAAGACCCAACCCGATTTCTATTTTAACCCATTTTACTATCTCCAATTTCAACCCAACCCACCCATTTGACACCCTACTTGTAGCGTACCTCAACTAGTTTCACAATGTATATGTTATCTCTTACAAGCATAAGTACATGATAACTTTGTCCATCAAGGCTTGGACAAATGAGAAGCAATCAACCTATTGTTTTGACTTTAATGGAATTTGAACTTGAGATCATATAATTCTCATCTGGATCACCCTCTTGATTGTTACTCCTAAGTCCTATTATTCTAAAATGTTGATTACAGGGAAATGATTGGGTAATTAGTTTATATAGAAGTAAATTAAGAAGGCCAAATGTGTGCATGCGTGTGTGTTTTATAACTTTCAATACCTAACAAATGAAAATAATTACACTTTGTAACTTCCATTAGGAGTTATCATAACAAGAGGAATGTCCTAACTGTTGAGGAGGGTAATCAGCCTTCACACCTAATTATAATCAGGTTTAACTGAAATTTAAGTAAAGATGTCAGATTATGATTATTGGGTCCTTGATTAGGCATGCGGGCTAAAATTATCAATATTGCAAACAGATGCCATTAATTTCATTGCCTCTAAAAAATTATAAATTTATCCCTTACTATATAACATATTATTGTTGACCTTCAAGTCTACTCCATTGCTGTTCATTAAATTTAACAACTTCCAAAAGGAACATATTGCTCAGTTACTTATTTAGCATCGACGTGCACAAGGAAAAGCTCCTGTCACGATGAATCCTGCAATATATTGTTGGTTGGTATATAATCCAGATTGAGTAGTAAAGTTAAGACGTCGAATACACTCTCAAAGACTTAAGACTATATGTGATGTATCCCTTGTGGGACGAATGAGTCATCTTCCTATCAAAGTTGAGGAGTCGGAGCATGTGTTTATGATAAGTTAAGATACTTTAATGGTATAAAATTACAGCATTTTAGGAGGATACAGATACATGGACAATGTTGGAGGACATCTAACATTGTTTATGTTTTCTTTTTCCGGAATCAAGTTATGGGTCAAATTTGAGCTACAGAATAGTTTTTACTACATTTTACCATATTTCCGATTCATTCAAGATTGCCATGTGAGATACTCTACAGTTGACAATTGATAGTCAGAAATTGCAGCATCAATTGGTAGAAACAAGTTCAACACAATTTGTACGGTACCAGAACTAATACCCTTTGTACAAGCAGATTTAGGAAGGATTTTCAAGAACAAGTTGTAAAAGGATATACTAGGTTGCTGGTGATGAACACGCCTTAAAACGTGTAGGGAGTTCAGGAACAACAATAATTTAGTGCATTCATATATGACGTTAACTCTACATGGTATGATGACCCCTACATGACAGAGGAAAGAAATGTGTGGAAAACTTTGAAGGACACTTTTAACAAGTGCAAGCAAACGAGTTAGAACTGACCTGTTTCATTATCTGTAAGCTGAAGAAACTACTCTCCCATGAATTCTGAGTTTGTAGTATGAGCCGTCTACTAAAATTCACACATGTTACTCAAAGAACAGGTTGAAAACCAAATTGGATGGAACAACAACATCATTTACTGGATAACCATTTCAATCTCTCTGATCAACCATATCTCCAATTATACAAGATATTACATTAGATCGCAAAGAATGTGATTAACAGACATAGCTATGGTTTATCATTCAGGAAAATACCCATTTTTCCCACTTAATCCAATCTATTCTCCTTTTCCCAGACCTCACTTGTGAAATAACCTTGGATATGTTGTTGTAATCCAATCTATCCTCTGACGGTAAAAAATTCAAAGCTTGCAGCATTCTAATTCCCTAAAAACACGTTTAGTAGAAAATCGTCCATCAACAACTTATACATGCCCGTGAATTGTGTGTTTATTACACTGGTCATCAGTTAAAATTTTCATAAAATGGTATGAAGGGAACAAGTAGAAAACTAACTTAAATTTGAAGGGGGGAAACGACACCACTACTAATGGAACAAGTTTGTTCAACTTCTTAGAGTCTCCATATGTCCAATTTATACTAGAAATTACATGAGATTTCACAGCAACATGACTAAGAAGACGTAGCTAAGTCTAACCATTCAAGCAAGTGCCCACTTTACAAACTTAAGCCAATCTGCTTTTACGATTCCGAGTCTCTTAATCCCTTAAAACAAGTTTAAAGGAATTTATACAGCATAAGAAGTACTTCCTCCGTTTCAATTTGTTTGTCTTAGTTTGACAGGGCGCGTAATTTAAGAAAGTAAGAGACTTTTGAATCTTGAGTTCTTAAATATCATAAACATTTTGGGTGGGATGTTGAAGTTAAGGAGTTGCCAAATTAGGAAAAACTTTTAAAAAAAGGATAGTAAGACAAAAAAAAATGAAATAGAGGGAGTAATTGTTTCTTCTACCAGAATTCATAACAATTTTGACCAACAAAAAGAATAATACTCATTGAAAATATATTACTACAAATGCAAATAATGGAACAGGCTTCAAACTTTCAGGTACTTATAAGAATGACATTCAATTATTGTATTCATAAGATAAGTTTGTTGTATGACCCTGTATGGCAGGGGAGAGAAAGCTATAAAGATATAGGTTGCCACCTTTAACAATTACAAATAAAGAAAAAAGAATTTAGACTTTACCAGCTGCCGCAATCCACATAACTCTCAATAACTAACATTTTTCTATGAATCCGGGATCACCATTCTATCAATCTGCAACAGCTATGACAATCTCTTGCTATTCTACATGGACTGGTAAAGCTTGAATGACTTTTGAGTGGAACTATATCACAAGACTTTCCATTTAGAACCTGACAGTTTGACTTGGAGTAGCTTATCCTCACTTGGATCGGTAATGCAACAGGCCTTTCCACTGTATGAAAAAGAACGAACCTCAATCACTCTCACTACTCATACTATAAATATTGCCACCCACTCCAACAATGCTAACTACAATGGCCAATATCAACATGAACCAAGACAAAATCTTCTCTCTCATACTCAAACCGCTTCCTTGTTTGCCCAGCCTTAGAGCAATAAGAGATGGAAATGTATAGCCTAAAGAAACTGCAGTTGTGGCCCCTGTAAATTTGAAAGCAGTCCAAATGTTAGGAATCATAGTCGACCCAAAATATAAGAGTGCCAGGAGAACGGCAGTCAAAGCCAGACACCTCTTCCTACTTTCTGTGAGTGGTGCAGATCCTTCAAACAACAAAGCATCCACAGTCTGCCTCAGGGAGAAATGGATAACAGGGAAAACAAGAACCAGATGGAAAACATAGCCAACACGAACAATGTAATTCAATGCTGTGCTGAAACGAATTCCAAGGTCCTTGTCAAAATTTGTGAGTATATCAGATTCAGTATCCTTTCCAAAAAGTAAATAGCCAGCTACTGCCGTAGAAGCATACACCAACACACAAATAGCAGAGGTAATTCGGCTCACACGGTTCATCTTCTGAGGTGATCGGCCTTCAAGCTCATTATAAATGGGCTGAACATTGAAATGGCAAACATACGCATTGGACATTATGGGAATCACCACAAGCAGGTCTAGGATTGCCTGCTTAGACCCGAAATCTGGTGTCATCCTTGGAGCTTCAATTTTCCCCTCGACAAGCTTAATAAATGCTATCGTGAAAGCAACTACAACAAACACAATAGCAAGAGCTACAGAAGCAGCTGAAGACAAACTTAAAGAATCGATCTTGTCCATTGCACAAAGGGGTGCAAGAAAAATCACCAATATGATCAAAACCACCAACTTCCTATGATCCCACACTCCATGACCTAACCATTGATCAAAAACCCCAGTATGTCGAATCGAACCCGACAAAACATCCCCAATTATAATCAAGTATACAACCAAAACACCAGCATTATTCACAATAATACAAATCTCAGACAGGATCTTCGCTGTTTTACCCAATGCAGCCTCAACAACTTCCCCATACGACAAAGCCTTGCATTGAACCGAAAACCGAACAAGCAATTCAACACTAATCTCAGACAAAACACCCATCAAGAATATCAAAATAACCCCAACAACCAACCCCAATACTTTCATTGTAGCAGGCAAAGCCATAATCCCCGCACCAATAATAGTAGTCGTAAGATTAAAGACTGCCCCATGTTCTCCAGACCCAGATTTATTTTCACCAAAAATAAGAGGTAAATCATCCAAATCTATATCATCGGCTTCAAAATCATCACCAGAATTTGGTTTCAAATATTCATTATCCCTAAAGTTATCATCTTTAACTTGTAATTCAACAAAAGATTCCTTGGAAACAGACGAATAATTGCTATCCATAACCACAAATGCTATTTACAATTCAGAAATTAAATGCATCTACACGACATTTATGTAGCAAAAACGAGAAGAACTTACGTTAAAATCAGCGAAAATAAGAAAGTGGGTTTTGGATTCGATGACTCCAAGATTCAAAATTGTTTTTCCAATGTAATCTAAGGATGAAAAGAACCCTAGATCGTCGAAGTCAAAGTTGAAGCGGTTTACTTTGTAACTCGAAAATGGCCGATTTGGAGAAGTTGAACAAAGTTTCCTATTTTTAATTTTATTTTATTTGGTAAAATTCTCCTATTGGTAACACTCAACATGAAACTTCTGCCCAATATAATGTTTGAAAAAGTAATATTTTAGGTAAGCCAACAAAATTTATGTCACTAAAAATGGAAATGCAAATAACTGGTAATAAATACTTTTTCGTTTCCCTTTCTTTTTTATATATATGTATCCTTACTATAAATAGTTGGTTCATAAAGTACTTGTCATTTCTTAAAAGCAATACATAAATTACAATATTCTTCCTATTATATCTTTGATAGTTGATTAGTTTTGAAAATAGATATTTGATCAACCTAGGAAAATTAATAAATAATTAATGTTTATTGTAGTTATTTCATTCATTGATTAATTACTCTCACCATTGCACTACTCTATAACATTTGATTTTGAAAAAGAAATCTCAACAAACAAATTAAAAATAAAAAATGAAGAAAAAATCAAAAATAATCTTGCAAGTTGAAGCTTTTATCAAGGAAGATGACACATCTAAAGGTTTAAAGGATATAAAAATAGAGGACTCAATCAAATTATGCGAATGCCAATTTGAGAAAAATCAAGATTCAAATAAAGGAGTTCTCGTCTAATTTCATTATAAATGACATCATATTCAACACGAATATTTAGATCAATTTGAAGTAATGGAATTTGAATATTTTGCGATGTTGCCATGTTTGCTTTAAGAATTTATATAAAAAAAATAATATTTTTACACAAAATATATAGGTTAATTGAGGTGAGAAAAATTTAACTTTTTCAAGTTTTGGATCAATTCATAAAAAAAAATTGGCTCCAAAAACAAACTTAAAAATTTAAATAGTCATTGCATTTCAATTTTTGAAATCTAGCATATTTATTATTTAATGAAAAGTTGACTTCAAAATACATTAAATAAGGATAGAATTGTAAACTTACTTAGTTTCTTAATGCAAGTGAAATCTAAAAAAATGATATATAAAAAGAAACAGAGGGAGTATTAAGTAATTTACTACTATAAAAGATTAAATAACTATAAGTATTCTTTTTAACTCCCTAGTCCAACAATAGTTGTCCATTATATTATTTTGAAATGTCCAATAATACTTGTTCACTTTATAAAATCAACGGATAATGTAACATTTACTTCATATTTTACCCTTATCATTAATTATAGTCATTTATCTATTATATTTTTTCTAAGATATTGTATTTATTATATTCAAACGATGATATAATAAAATTACCCTTTTATTTAAATTTTCTTAAAAAGTGTGCAAAGTCAATAGTGAAAAGGTATTAGTGGAAAAGTATTGTTGGACAGAAGGAGTATCATCTAAATTTTAAGTAATTTGATTCTATTTTGAAGATTAATAAAATTGACTTTTTGTGAAGTAAAGCATGATAATTAGATCTATGCCAAAAAAAAAGTAGTAATGTGTCGGAATAAATAGTACAAGAAGCCATGAGTGTACCTTGATGATAAAATTCGGAAATAACAAACGAGGGACGATTAAAATAAAGTTTACAAGTCATTTTTTGATGTAATTAATGGCAATGAGGGAAGATTTCATGAGATTCTGCTTCGAACAAGAAAAACTAGAGCAATAACAAGATCGGAAGCACATATTATGTATTTATTAAATTGATATTGATATACATGTGAGTATTTTAAAAAATATATATATTTTTCAAGTACATTTGACTTTTTTTCTTTTTTTATACGTTTGCTAAAAGAATTGTAGGGGATGGGAGACAAAAATTCAAACACAAGTTATCAACAGCTAATTGCCTTCAATATTAAGATTCACTTTGCTTAAGTTAAAGTTCAGTCAATTGGATCATGTACTTGTTTAAGTAACAATAAATAAACAAAGGACTTTTTAATTTATGCAAATACCCCTTTTACAGGTCTGTCACTATTTTATTTTTTTATTATATTTTTAAAAGTTATGCAAAATATAGTTACAAAATTATCCTTCTAAACCACGTTAGACTCAAATCTAATATTTACTCATATATTGCTCAACTTTACGAATCGTTTAATATTTTTAGTAACTTACAAAATAGTTTATTGTGACATAATGTTTTCTCACTAATTTTTAGCTTGCTCGAAAATAAATCTCAAGCTATGATCTAAAACACTCATAAATTACAAGAAAAATCATAATAATATCATCCTAGAAAAATACGATCGACAATAAAAATTGTAATTAGTATTTCCTCTTCTGTCCACGAAATTAGCAAAAGCCCACCAATCAGGTAAATAGTATACGGCCCATTAAATTAGTTTTGTAATATGGGCTTCACATCCTAAACCTAAAACACTTCAATTCTATTGGAAAAATACATATATAAACATGTAAATGAACATAGATTTCTCTCACTTAATTGTAGTTAACGTATATTCTTAATCTTACTTATCAGTCTGTTTAAGTAAAATAAGTTAATATTATTTTGTGTAAACAAATGACACAAATAATTTTGTACCAAACTCTTTTGTAGGTGCTTGCAATCCTTCTCCGTACACTCTAATTTGATTGGTAGAATGGGATAGACAAATATATCTTCATCATTTAATTTATTATTTATCTTTATTTACTTTTTTCTCATTCATAAGTGTAATAAGATAGCATGCAAAATTTACTTCTCAATGGAGATAGAATAAATGAATAAAAAAATTTATGAAAACCACTTAAGAATAGTTTCCTATTTGTGATACATAAGTTGTGTTTTTACATTAAATTTGTAGAGGCAACACACTTATATATGTGTGATGTTCCTTCGCTTAAAAGGTATATATTACTTTCATTTATTTTGATCTTTTTAAATGAAAATATTGATTTTGTGACTGTGAGATGTCACAAGATAAAATATTATCTTGTAAAGCAGTAATACAAAATACAAAAGATGTTTTACAACTTTCCTTTTCGAATTAGTAGTACTACAAGATAAGATGTAACCCCCTTTTATGTTTTTTTTTTTTTGTAAAAAGAAGATGATAATGTAACATTTGAAAGTCCAATTAAGGGATTTGTCACTTGCCAAAAGTTATAAATTTCACTATTTCTAGAGTAGACAAATAATGCTACTAATGTTAATCATCCAGAAAGTTAAAAATTGAAATTCCATTTTGGAATGATGCAATAGGACGTGTTTGGTCACACTTATTAGGGTCCCACATTACTAAAACTGAAAATCTAATATATCACGAGATCTCGCAAAAAGTTCATTATATCGTATGGGGAAATGACAACCACTCAGTTTTGATTACTTAAAGACCCTTTATTTTTACCATAAATATCAAAACTGCCATTTAAGGCTTTTTTTTTCTTTTTCCCTGTCGGACAAATCCTTAAAGTTTTGGTTGTTTTATGAAGACTAGATTCATCCAATTGATAAAGTGACTAGGAATGGATCCGCACGTTCAACGTTAGTGTCTACATTTATTTATTTATTTATATTATTATTCCACTAAAAGGTCCCATTGCTTCGACAACAAAACCCAATTATAGGCAATATTTCTAATCATGTTATAAAGTTTTTCATACTCTATCCCCTTCCAATTTAGCTCACTATTTGTTTCGATTTATGAAATTATAGAAGATCTTTTAATAAATATAAATATATATATAGGGTGGGTTAGGTATGAGGAAAAAAAATTCACAAAAGAGAATAAATGATATAGTATTTTTTTGTATTTTATTTATAAGTATAAATATTATTTTTAAAATACTTGTACGTAATTTAAATAAATATTATGAGTCGGGATGAAGATAATGTGTGGAAGTGGTGGGGATAAGGGCCAGGGTTGGGGTATGGTGTGTTGGACTGTTGGAGGGATGTAGAGTTGCGAAAATTAGTGAGGAATATCATTTGTGGAATTTATTTTCTCTAATTTCATCAAAAACGTTGTTTGTGTCATCTCCAAGAAATTTATTTTCTTTAGAACTGATTTTATTTCTATGTAATAGTAGTGAAATGCATTATAGCGATACATTTTTTTAGTCAAATTATCCGATCCCTCTATAACAATCATGTTTAAATATTGAGTGATAATTACAAATATATTATGTATAAAAATGTAATCTTAAAATATTTGTAATAATCATCATTAATGTTCATTAATGTACATGATAAATTTTAAATACAAAAAAACTAATTAACTGATGCCCATTAGTTAAACTTTACCAGGAAAGGTTACTGATGTTTGCCTTTTTTATATTCATACTTTTGTTTTTAATTATTGAATTGATTAACAAATACATTTTTCTTTTTTCTACACAAAATCATTAACCTTTTTTTTCATACTTTATTTATAACGTTAAATGATATTTAATATTCAATGTCAATATCATACTCTCTCTGTCCCTATTACTTATTTACTTTTGAATTGACACATCTATTTAAAAAACAATTAATGACATAGTGAGTTTATCATTTTACCTCTATTAATTCTGAAGTGGATGGATTAAAAACATAAGATTTTTAAGGAGTTCTATCTTTTTCAAAATAATTAATTAAGGGTATAATAGGTAAAAAAAATTGTCCTTTTTTTATTTGTCAAAATGGATAAATAACTAGGGACAACTAAAAAGAAAAAGTGGACAAGTAATTAGTGACACACAGGGAGTATAAAATAACACTTCATCGTAGCAACTATGAAATGGGGACCAATAAGAGTTATAGTGGAATGATAAGTATTCTTTCATTCTTAATTAAAGGTGTAGTGCTCGAATTCCTTTTAGTACGAAACCGCCTTTGTAAGGGAGCGTCAGAGTGTTTTACCCCTAATATGGAACTTTTTGGATTGTATTCAGATTTAATCGGATGTCAATATGAATATCGAACCCCTCGAGAAAAAAAACTACGGAAAAAAAGAAGAAGAAAAAGTCACGTCATTGCCGACATGTGGTTTATATATGCTTACTAGTATTACTATGATCACTTGAACTCAAAAGTTGTTCCAAATAATCAACACCCAAATCTTCAAACACTACTATATTAACATTAGAATTACTCTCATCTTTTACAACTTCCCTACTTATTTTATTTTTCTTGTTCAATTTCCTCTTCCTCGTAGAATGTCTCTTCTTAAGAGACACAATAGGTGAACAACCTTCTTCAGCATGAAATTTCATTTCATGTAGAGATTCAACAACTCTTTCAACTGAAAAATTCAAGATTGCACTTGTACCCCTCATTGAAAAAGCAGCTTGATCATATGCCAAAGCAGCATCTTCAGCACTATCAAATGTCCCTAGCCATACCCTAATTCCATTTCTAGTTGAATCCCTTATCTCCGCCGCGAATTTGCCCCATGGCCTACGCCTAACACCTCTATAATTCTTTTCCTTTGATGAAGGTGTTGGCTCGGCCATGGGAGTACTATTTGTTACTAAGGTGGTAGTGTCTGAGTCAGCTTGTGCGAGAAGGCCATAAGGCAACATCTCGTCCGAATCATTTATGTTGAATGGGAGGGAAGAGGTGTTGAAATTGAGATTGTAGAGAAAATTAGAAGAAGAAGAATTCATTGTGTTCTCTCTTTGTTTTTTTTTTCAAGAAAGATTTGAAAAGAAGTAGGTGGACTACCTTGTTTTAGTAATAGTCCATTATGGGGAGAAGTTGTTGAGGCTTCCTCTTTTTATATCCATACAAGTAGGAAGGGCCCACAAAGAAAATCTACTACATTGGTTATAAATTTGAAAATTTATACTAGAGAAAATGCATCATTACCCTATTCAACTATAACACTTTTTTTAAAAAGACACTTGAACTTTGAAAAAAGGTCCTAGTATCCCCTTATTCTTTTCCAGGGTGGATTAACTACCCCCTAATGATCCTAGGTGGCACACAAAGTGTATTTCACTGGCTAGTGATATACATAAAAAAATATTATTTTATTTATTTTATCATTTATTTAGTTAGAAATATGATTTTCTTTTTACTCTATTTGTTTTATTGTATTTTTGATAAAAAAAAAAAAAGTCTTATTGTATTTTTGCAATTGGGACCTATCGGCACTCCGATGAACAAGCTGCCATGCTTGCACTGAAAAATAAATTAGCGGCCATAGAAAATTTCCACTCCAAAGCTTTGAAGAAAATTGATGAGATTGTTGAAAGAGAAAGAGATGAAAGCAGAGTGGCGTGGTGGAGGAAGATCGGAAAGAAGCGCCAGAGAGATCGACGGCGACGACGAACAATTGAGAGGGAATCTCCAGGGTTCATGTTCAAACGAAGTAGAAAATACCCCATCTGAATTAGAGAGAGACTTCCGGTCTTTGCAGATACAACACATCTTGATTTCGAGCAAAAATTACACAAAAAGAAGATTAACCATGGGAGAAAATAGAAGAAATTTTGCTCCTATAGATTTGCTTAGCCATTGTTGAGATGTGTTATTGATGTTATGGCAGTGGCGGCTATGCGAGAGAATTGCCGCCGCCGGCGAAAAGAACAACAATTGTTGAATTATTTTTGAAGAAGAAGAAAAGATAAAAAATTAAAAAATTAAAAAAAAATGAATAAGAAATAACATATATGAAAATAAAATTTTAAAAGTAACCTAATTGACACGTGGTAAGTATTGATTGGTGCGTGTATGCACTTCCTTTCTTATATATTTGGGGTTGATGGAAAAATGAGATACTTTTACCACTTTTAAATTGTTTAAGGGGGTACTAGGACCTTTGTAAAGTTCGAGTGTCTTTTTAAACAAAGTGTTATAATTGAATGGGGTAATGATGTATTTTCTCTTTATACTATCAAATCAAGTAACATTCAATAATACAATTGAATCGTAATTAAAATAAGATACATTATCTGTTATATTAGAAAAGAATTGACTTAATAGCAGAAAAAACTTCTTTATACTTTTTGTGTATATATCTCAAAGATGAAATAACAACTTATATCGTATTGTCAATTTTAATTGACCTATTTCAATTAAGATATGAGAGTAAAATAATTTACAGTTAATTTCGTCAATTTTGACTAAGAACTCAAATATAAGTTAAAACTATTTTCTAAGTATTTGGTGTGTTAATTTATGATCACAAGAAAGTAATAAAATAAAATGAAAATTTTATAAGTCAGAAAAAGAAAAAAAGAAAAGAGTGACCAAGGAGGATGTTTTGGAATTATTTTATGGCTTCTTGTGATTAATTTTAGAGATAATTAATTATAATTAGATGTAAACTTGTGTTTCTTCTAAGAAAAAAAAATCAAACGGGCAAAGAGTTGTCCTTTTCTTTGATTTTGTTATTTGGTAATCAAATTCTCTGGGGTCAAGCCAACCACTACTACATTACAAACAGAAGGAAAATAAATGGATGAAATTAATAAATTAATTATGAGAACGGTTCAGATTAATACTCCTTTCTATTCAAAATAAGTGTCCTTATCCAAAAGATTTTCATTTTCTTAAATATACCTTTGTGCCAATAAATTCATCTAAAAAGTTTTGAGGAGAAAAAAAGGCACCTTTTCACTATTATAAGGGATAATAAAATAGTTTGTCATTTTAACTTTTTATTTTATACTCCTTTATTATTTAATACACATATTAGTATTTCATTATTCTTTTCGGATAAAATAATTCTTACTTTTTCTCATTAAATTATGCGAGTATTACCTAAGAAGAAACGGAAAAAGCATACTAAATACTACATTAGCTATGTTGAATATTATATCAAAATTTAATTCATCTAAAAACACTAATCATATTATATACTTATATAATATAATATATAAGTACTATTTTAATTTTTAAAAAGACCAATCAAACGGCACATGTACGAGCGGCTGTGCCACTTCCTCGTCTTTTCACTTTACTTTGGGATGTTGTAAAGTAACCCAAACAAATTTCTCCTTCCTTTAGTACCTAAAGGAGTCGTTTGGTAACTGGTTTGAAAATAAGTTACGTAGGTATTAAATACTGCATACGTTTAAAAAATAATTTATCTACATATAAAATTAATATAGTATTTATTTTATAATTTAGAAATTTGTATGAATTAATACATGTACAAATTATGAAAAAATCTATGTATTATTTTATATAGGATAAAAAGTGGAATAAATAATACATGAATAACTAAAACTTTACATAAAATAATACATAAATTCTCTCATAACTAATACATATATTATTAAATATATATATTTAACTCTAATTAACTACCAAACGAACCCTTAGCTTGAATCTGTTTGAATTAACTTATTTTAGGTGTTTTTGAATAAAAGCAGCTTATGTATTTTTATAATGTTTGTGTGAAAAATGTTAAAGTAGATACTTATTTTTAAGTCAAAATAATAGAAGTAAACCAGGAGCCGTATTATAATGTATGGCTATAAGCTCATTCAAACATACTTTAATTACTCATGTCTCAATTTAGGTGATATTTTGTTATGTCAAATTAATTTTTATTTGATAAATATTATTGTGTAATTTTTCAACATATAAACTTCTTATAAAAAGTTATGTTTAAATTTATGATCGAAATTAAATAATTAAAATAATAACTCTCAAAATTCCTTCACAACTTTAATACAAAGGGAGTAGCTCAAAAATGAGCCAAGCTGAGGTAATCAGCTAGCTCGGTCCGAATAAATGAATAAATAAGTCAGTGGCTCAGTGCTCATAAATTAACAAAAAAAAGAAAGAAGAGAAGTTAAGTACAAGTCCAAAGTTGAATTAATTAGTAAGTAGAATACGTAATTATTAGAGTATCCAAAATTGATCTTATTTATTATTAATAATAATAATAATTTAATATAAATACACAATTTAAATAAGAATAATTGAATTTAGTCAAACTTATAATAAAAGACTTCTACTTTTGCACTTGACTACAACTGTAAATGTAAATATAAAGACGGAATTTAAAAAGGTTAGTATAAAGTACTTTCATAATAAATTACAAATAAAAAATAGACACGAAAAGGCTTATTATCATTTTCGAAATTCGAGCAATATATTAGTATATTGGATGTTGATAAGGTGAAAATTACAGGAAAACATGTAAAACCAAATGTTAGAAGTTGAGTAGGACGTTTGAGTAATGGTGCAACACTTATTTGACTATCATCGACAATACTCATTATTAAAGAGGTGACGTGAATTTAAGGGACCAAAATTATTTTCTTTTTTGTAATAATTAATTTACTTCGTACAGTTGGTAAGATTACGACAACAATTAACTGTGCTACATCTCAAATTATATTAGTAATGCTCCATTTCTTTTATGTTCAATATATACTCACTGAAAAGGACATATATTATGGATGTGTTCAATACGAAGATTTTTTATTTTTTTTGATATTTTCATGTTTAATTGGTCAAATATTTTAGAAAATATTTTCTTTAGAAAAAAAATTAAAATGTGGAAAGTGGACTTCCTAGTTCCTAATGAAAATAGATTGACAAAATTCAAAAGACTTTTTTATTTTGTAAAATTTTGTGTCAAAATAAAATTAGATCGATAAATTAAAACGGAGGAAGTATGAAATTGTATGCATCTGGAAAGCGGACAAGTGACATAGCGATAAAAAGAATAAATGCACAAAACAACCTAGCTAACACCTCATTCACAAGAAAATAAAAATATCCCTTCTATGATTGAATAAATAAATAAATAAATAAATATGGCATGTCTATTCAATCTTAGTCTCCATATCAATCAGAGATGATTTAATTTTTTTATTTTAACAAACATAGCATAATTATTTTTTATTTGTTTTGATTTAAGTGAACAAATTATTTCATATTTATGATGGTTAAAATAATTGTTCCATATTGTTTGATTACTTATTAAATAAAAATAGAATTATTTTTTTCCTATTTTATCCTTAAAAATTAATATGACCTTTTGAATGTGAAAATTTCACAATACTAGTTATTCATATACTCACTGTATATTTTTTCTAACTTTTATAGGCATTGGTATGAACAAAGAACAAAATAATAAAGTTGATCAATCTATTATTTATCAATAATTTTTTAGCCATCATGTAAAATAGAAAGTGTCCAATGGAGTAGTAGTTTTTTCTTCATAGCACACTCACCATGATATCCTAATACACAAACAACTTATATGAATATGGAGCAATTACCGATTAGGATTATGGTGGATTGATGAGTATTCTTTCATTCTTAACTAGAAGTCTCGAGTTCAAGTCTCTCTGGATAAAACACCATCTCCTTGTCTTTGTTAGGGAGCGTGTTACCCCCCAATGTGAAACTTTTTGACGTGAATCTATATTTAATCAGACTCCAATATGAATACCAAAATATTGAATGGGAAATAAAAAAGAAAGAATATAGAGTAATTACTTTTTAAAAGAAATAGAAAAAGAAAAGATGCAGTCATGAGAGCAACATTCTGACTTTTCTTGTATAGTAAAATGCACCCACCCCATGTTTGGATATGCAATAAAAGAACAAGTTGGCATTGTTTCTTTATATCATATCATAGGTCCCAAGAAAAAAAAAGCAAAGCTCCATTCATCACTAATTTATCCCTTGTCTTATTCCCGAAAAAACCATGGTATATCATATATATTTGTATATGATAAAGTATCTTTTTATGTAAAATGACAGTAATGAGTAATAGAATGTCAATTTCGTTGTAACGACGTCCCTATTTCATCATAATTAAAATTTACTAGGCCACCACCCACATGTTTCGACTCACATTAAATGATGGACCACTTGTTAAATTGAGTAAAGAATATGTTCAACTTATTCGAAATTTATCAC